TTGCAACCCTTCGGCCTTGATTCCATGATAGATACAGTGACTCTGGGAGGAATGTGGCTTTTCAGTCTACCCCTCGGGGCGTGAGCCCGGACCACAAGGAGTTCGTCACCCGGTCGCCATAGCAGTAACGGACTTGTATCCATAGCGATGTGGTTTGCACCTATAGGGAGCTGTTTGTTAACTTATATCTTGCCGAAAATAGTTTATTGATAAAAAGTGTGTACACTTCACATGGCCACTTATATTGTATAACCTGATCATTGCCACCCTCATCATCATCTTCGTCGTCCTCTCCTAATCTTTCTTCTTCTGTTTCTGATTATTTCCCTTCTTCTTCTTCTAACCTCCCCCCCCCCCCCACTTTCTACACTTCTTTTCTTCTTCTTCTTCTTCTTCTTCTTCTTCTTCTTTTCTTCTTCTTCTTCTTCTTCTTCTTCTTCTTCTTCTTCTTCTTCTTCTTCTTCTTCTTCTTCTTCTCTTCTTCTTCTTTCTTCTTCTTCTTCTTCTTCTTCTTCTTCTTCTTCTCTCTTCTTCTTCTTCTTCTTCTTCTTCTTCTTTCTTCTTCTTCTTCTTCTTCTCTTCTTCTTCTTCTGTTCTTTTCTTCTTCTTGTTCTTCTTGTTCTTCTTCTTCTTCTTCTTCTTCTTATTCTTCTTCTTCTTCTTCTCTTCTTCTTCTTCTTCTTTCTTCTTCTTTTCTTCTTCTTCTTCTTCTTCTTCTCTTCTTCTTCTTCTTCTTTTCTTTTCTTCTTCTTCTTCTTTCTTCTTCTTCTTTTTCTTCTTCTTCTCTTCTTCTTCTTCTTCTTCTTCTTCTTCTTCTTCTTTCTTCTTCTTCTTCTTCTTTCTTCTTCTTCTTCTTATTCTTTCTTCTTCTTCTTCTTCTTCTTCTTCTTCTTCTTCTTCTTCTTCTTCTTCTTCTTCTTCTTCCTCTTCTTCTTCTTCCTCTTCTTCTTCTTCCTCTTCTTCTTCTTCTTCTTGTTCTTCTTCTTGTTCTTGTTCCTGTTCTTGTTCTTCTTCTTCTTCTTCTTCTTCTTCTTCTTCTTCTTTTCTTCTTCTTCTTCTTCTTCTTCTTCTCTTCTTCTTCTTCTTCTTCTTCTTTCTTCTTCTTCTTCTTCTTCCTCTTCTTCTTCTTCTTCTTCTTCTTCTTGTTCTTCTTCGTCTTCTTCTTCTTCTTCTTCTTCTTCTTCTTCTTCTTCTTCTTCTTCTTCTTCTTCTTCTTCTTCTTCTTCTTCTTCTTCTTCTTCTTCTTCTTCTTCTTCTTCTTCTTCTTCTTCTTCTTCTTCTTTTTCTGCTGCTGCCGCTCCTGTAGCATCTCCGGCTGCTTCTGTTGTTTCTCCTCAGCCTCCATCATCCCCTAACAATAAAAAGAGAAATAAAAACCAGTTCAATTATCAAAAACAGTTTTTGATTGAGAATAAGTGGTGGTTAGCTTTTCACACACTAATATATAATTAAAAAATAAATGAAAATACTAACTTGATATCAGACAAAATCAGTCTCACTAGTGGGTTCCAGGTCCCCATCTTTGGGTTTTCGGGGAATTGTCTCATTTCCGCCCTAATAAGCATGTCTGATAAGGCGACTTATAAATTAGTAGTTTGCTGAAACTGGATGTTTCGCCGAAAGACGTAGATATCGCAGCGTAGCTTTAAACCACACGACAGTTTGTAAAGCACTCCTTAAAGAGCGAACGAAGAAAAAGAAGAAGGCATGGCAAGACTATTTAATCTGATATAAAGCGCGGAATTCGAGTGTATAATACCACAAGTGGTGGTGTCAAAATGTTAAGTCGTGGGTTCGTTCCTCTTTCCAGTAGTACTCAAGGTTTATAAAAATCTTGGTCGTCAAAAAGCCACTGCGTAGAAGTGAATCTTTTTCTGAATTTGATTTTTTTTTTAAAATCATGTCCTAATTAAATACAGTACACCAACCACGTATCACAATCGACAATGAAGAAATATACAATGTCGCAGATGTCGAATACTTGGGCTCTGTAGTGAACAACAGTGGCGACTGCTCGAGAGAAGTTAGAAGAAGACTTGCATTATCAATGCAGAGATTAAACAGCATAAAGAACCTATGGCTAAGCACCTGTAAATTAGTTAAACTCTTGAGATCACGCATTTTCCCTGTAGCAACTTACGATTGTGAGTCTTGGACTCTCACTCAATCATTAAAAAATGATTGGAGCTTTTGAAGTCAAATGTTACAGAAAAATTCTCTGATCAAGAAGAAGAAAAACTTCAACATTCTACACGAGTTAAACATCAAGGAGAACTGGCTCATATTAGTTGTCCTGTCCCGATAGATAAAGAATTTTGGCCCCATCAAACGTCATGGTGGCTTGGAAAAGACGGTGTTAGAGGGTGTAGTTGGTAGAAAGCGAGGAAGGGGTCCACCTCCGTGAAGATAGATACAGGGCATTGAAGATGAATTGGCATTGAAAGCACATGAGGCTGGAGAGCTGGCTAGGAAAGGGATACTTTCAGGCGTGCCGTGAAGAGAGCGACGTTCTGTAAAGGACCTGCTTATTGATGATAAGTTGGCGGAGCTTGACTTTTCTTGTTGGTTTAAATGACCTTGGCTCCCAGGTCAGCCCAGCTGTAAATAGGTACCATGTACAGTCCCGGGAAGTAAAGGTGGCCCTTATAATGTTGACCACATCACATACCGAGTGCCAGTGGGTCTATAAAATATAGATCTAGCCCTATATGCCCAAAACACCTGAAGGCGTGGACAATAGTACTTTAGAGATGCAGTCTTGTATAGGATAACGTAACTCATCTTTCATTATTATTAACATTAACTCACGTACAACAGAAGTTTAATAATATAAACTTTCAGTGACGCACAACACACGCTGGATAATAAAATGCTTATCCAGTGGTAAACTCTGGCGGAAAGTTCTGGTTGTTCGTCCGCTTCTTGACTGTAGTCCTGCTCCAGAACTTAAGTGTGGCGTGTGCGTCCGTTTGACAGACCTGACTAATTTGTGTGTAGACTTTGGTACCTTGCCTCTCAGGCAAATCCACTTCGACTTTGAAGGAAGCTCCAAATCACTCGACTCTTATGACATGCATTTGGGTAGGCAGTGGGTCCATTCTTGTGTTCCTTAAAGCAGGACCCCAGAACCCACACGGGCAACTTTGAATAATATAAACTTTAACTCACATACCACAAGCGTATGGTAACCTAAACTTTATCCCAGACGCAACAAGAATGGAACAGTGTAAATTTTGCATCTGAAACATTATACTAAGAAAACATAAACTATATTTCAGAAACAGCAAGTGCCACCCCGCATACCTGAGCCAAAACAGACAATTTCAGTGAAAATAAACAACCGAGAAACGCTCAGAAATAGTTAGAACCATTAGATATGCGGTGACATTTCAAAGTTAACACGCCAGACATTATGTTCCTGCGTCTCTTATTATCCCTACTACAACACTAGCGATCTATACGGACAACACACTGATATACCATTACCCAGCAAATAAGTGGGTTTTTTCCTTGTCAAGACAGAACGGTAGATAAGCCTAGTGACAACGACACCTACATTTCTGCAAGGAAAATAATCATAGACACCGTAATCAAAATTTGGAAGACGCTAATATGAAAAATATGAATATTCATATCGCTAAGTATATTATTCATTATTATGTAAGACGAGACATGTTTATCTGAGAAGACTGCTGGGTTCAGTGACACCTCGCTTTCTCCGCCAGGTCTGCGACAGAAGACACACAAGATATGGGTGGTCTCAGCCCGTATCGACTTTGGAGTTTACCAATGGCGTCATTCTTCTTGGATCAGTTGTTCTCAAAAGAATAGCTGGAGCAAACGCTTGTCTGGTATCAGAAAAGATTGAGTGCTGCCTAAACAATACACTGAACAGAATCCAACAATGCCGCTAAACCCGAAGCCTGCAGTTTCCAATGCTCTAACAAGTGTTAAAATATGCATGTTTGAAACGATGATCTTCTTGACACCTCGTCAATCAATGCAGTGGATGTAATCCGACGCCATGATTTGAAAAGAATATGATTTTTCTTTTTTAAACCAATTTTCAAAGCGTCAAGTGTTTTCTCTATTGCAAGAAAAGCATGAATGGAAAAGCTGGCTGTTCAATAATGCGCCCAATTGAATTGCTTGTTGCGGTGGGGTCTGCGCGCAAGGAAGTATTGAACGGGGAGTTTTGTGGTTCTTCAAACATAGATTTCTTCCCTGGCTCCTGATAGAAGGCAATGGCGCGATTTTCACGTCCTTGTGTTGTTAAGAAGAAAAACATTTGTTTAGAAAGCACCGTTTTGATACAGGGTTTCCCAAAATTGTTTGCTTGTTGCTTACTGGGGGATGGAAGGGATAGTATGTTTCTGTCTGTGATAAGAATGTTCTTCTTATAATAATGATGATTATTGTTAGTTACCTTCTTCTTAGGTCATTCTTCTTCTTTAACTTATTATTAATAATATTATTATTAACTTCTTATGAGAAGAAGGAGAAGAAGAAGAAGAAGAAGAAGAAGAAGAAGAAGAAGAAGAAGAAGAAGAAGAAGAAGAAGAAGAAGAAGAAGAAGAAGAAGAAGAAGAAGAAGAAGAAAAAGAAGAAGAAGAAATCAAGTTTTCCTTCTTCCTCTTAAATTGCACCCCACCACTCGACCCCAAGAATTGAACTTCATTGAAAGATCTCCTTCTTTCACCAGCGGGGCATTGGAGATATGACGCTAGGCACTTTTGTTAAAAATAAACCGACTGGCACTCGTTGGTCAGATAGGTCGAAATCAATGGTCTCTGGGTGGTAGGTCCGGACGTCGGTGTGTATTGTGGCGCACGGAAAAAATCCCTTGTTGTACTGAAATCGAAAAGGGTAGTCTAACGCGCTGCCCATTTATTTTTCTCCCAATATACGGTACTTTAATAGATGTGTTCTAGTCTGGGTCTAACATTAACGACAGGTTATACGTATATTAATATAATACTTTTTCCTTCTCCTTCTTACAGGCTCTGATGTGGAAGACGACGGAGATATGGACTCAGGGATCGACACACAAGGCAACATCTCCGATAAGGACTTTCCTCTTGAAGGCGACAGCAGTCCTCACGATACCAAAGAATCCATTCTGGGTATGGCTCACTCCATCGGATCCAATAACAACAACAACTCCAACTTCCTCAATATAAACAACTCCAACAACGGGAGCACACTGGGCAGCTTAAACCCACTCAGTTTAAGTAACTCGTTAGGACTCAGTATAGGTGGTGCGTTGAACTGTAGCACCATGAACTCTCTCAGTAACCCAAACGGTCTCAGCAATTCATCTAGTACCAACGGTAGTAGCATTAACGGCAATTCGGGCTTGGGGTCTCTATCCAACGGCACTGGAAGCCTCAACTCGCTGCTGTCTCCGCGACTGGGTAGCCCCGCGCCGGTTCAGTCCATCAAGGAAGAGGGAGACTGCCCAAACCTGGACGCCAGTCCGGGCTCTGTGGATTCCAACTGCTCGAACATGGCTAGCGACATTCCACTGGATCGAGGAGGTCCAGATGGGAACAGCAACGACAGTTGCCCCAGCCCAGACAACGGGAACCCCGGATCGGGAGGTAACGGCGGCGGTAGCAACGGCGGGGGGAATTCCAACAATTCCAGCACAGTTGGGGCCAAGAGAAGGGGCCCAAGAACCACCATTAAAGCCAAGCAGCTGGAGACGTTAAAAGCCGCTTTTGCAGCGACGCCAAAGCCTACCAGACATATCAGGGAGCAGCTGGCCCAAGAGACGGGTCTCAACATGCGGGTGATTCAGGTAAGTTGGCGCTTGTTGTTGTCGGATTATCACAATTTGTGGTCTTTTTTCTTTTCTTCTTTTGGTTCGTCCTGAGTGACTTTTAGACCCACTAGGACATCACACAAAGCGATAAACACCCGATGACACAACTGCGCATGTGGATGAGGCACTGTGGAGAGGTAAAGCAAAGACTGCCACATTTGCGGCCTTCTTGAAAAGGACGTAAGGACTTAACAACCAGGGTGGGGCTTTAAAATAAGACGATGCTGCGCTATGCCTGTTTAAAGCAAAGCTGCCACATTTGTGCCTTCTTTCGGGCGATACATCCCACCTCATCGATGAAAATTTTTTGACTGCGTTAGCTTTTGGCTACTTTGCACTGTATTATCTCTCTCTCTCTCTCTCTCTCTCTCTCTCTCTCTCTCTCTCTCTCTCTCTCTCTCTCTCTCTCTCTCTCTCAGCGTGTGTGTCCTTAGTCTCTCTCAGTGTGGGTGCGTGTGTATGATGGTGGGTAGGGACGCCTGTGGAGCTCAAGTCCTATATCTACCTCACACTTAAAAGTTGTGGCCTTGATATTGGACTTTTCCCCTTATAGTGCTTGTGTTTCGAAGTTTATTGGGATTGTCACTAAAGCTGTGGAGTTCGTCCTTTGTGCGATGCTCTAACTTTACTTAGAGAGATTGCGTCATTTGGCACAACATTTTATGTAACAGTCAAATCCTATAGCCTTTTCCGCGAACGACAGGTTTAAAAAATATGGCTGTGAAGGATATGCAACTGATTATATTAAACTGTACTCTACCTTCATCTTTACTTTAAACTCACATGTCTGCTCTGTGAGCGTAAATCAAAACCTAGAGAATCTATTAACTTTTTGTTTCTCACACCGACGCCACCAGCCTCTCCAACAGTTCCCACATGAACTCGCTTTTGAGTTACCCTAGAAAAAAAAAGCTAACAGTATCGAGGCACACTTGTCCACAGTGTCGCAAAGCTCGGTGCGTCAATGAAACCTGCGACAGGAGCCGCTTGTCGAGGGCCCATGCGAATCCGGTCCTTTTTGATGTTTCTGAAAAGATCATGCTTCGGACTCTTTGAAAACGGCCCTGGGTGTTTAGACTGTAAATAATCATTGTAGTCGCCACATATCAAAGGAGTTTGCAACAAAAGTACCCCCGTCGTGCATTTTACAGAAGCTTCATCTGCACACATACTGTTGCTCACGGTCGAGAGATAATGTGAGCATTATATTTGGAGATTTTTTTATATTTGCTCGCGACGGACAAACACGAGCTAGATCTTTCTTTATCCATTTTCTCCCCTATTTAAAGAGTAATTTACCAAGCGCTACCGTGTTCCACCCATCTATTTTAGTTATGTTTTACCAATTTGAATACGGCGGGTTAGTATTTTGTATGCGATATTGTCGACAACACAAGGAATTAATTCAACAAAGAAATCCAAACAGTGACGGAAGCTCACCGTTTTGTATAGAAAACCGACGTAGTTTATGTATCACACACCTGTGATAAGACAACAGTTTATCTATCAGGTAAATCATATAGAAGGTATGTTTTTGCGGTCATATTATATATATGTGGATAATCAAAGAAAATATCATAACAGTTGAACTAACACATGATACCAACGATCACAGATGGGTAAAATAACAATTATTTAATAACAATATTGTCATCACTTTCTTTGTTGGCCAAATTAAACAAACGGAGTCTACGGCAAATAAAAGCGGAGAAAGAAAAATGAATTTCCGAATTTGCTCAGTTTAGTTTTTCACACACACAAAAACTGGCAACTTCCGTTCATTGTAAATCGGTTCTGTGCCGACAACTGTCTCTACATATCTGGACTCATATGTTCTTTCTTTATTGTTTGTTTTATGTCTTTTTCTTTTTTTGCTCTCATTTTTTTTTTCTCTCCCGGTCGGTTTTTTTTTTTTAAGTGAATAAGATGATAAACGACAATAGAGGCATTAGGAAACGAAGTGATTGAAAACAAACACGTTTACATTCTCTTTTTTTTTCAGACACAGACTAGTCTGTACCTTGTTATAAAGAGAGGCTACTGACAGACTTACAAACGCTCCCATCCCGCTTCTTTCTGGAGGAAGAGGAGGGGGGATGGGGACGCACAAATAATACTTTTAAAGGGTGGGTGGGGGGGGGGGGGGTGGGTAGCTAGATCAGACTCTCACCCGCACTCCCACTTTCAAAAAGCATGTCGTACACAAGACGGCTAGTTTTTCCGTCAAAGCCGGGGTGCATCTACCTGAGTGGCCAGGATCCAAAAGTCTGCATTCAAATAAGCTAGATCTGTAAAACGCATCTGCACGTATAATTCCTGTCCTAGAACAGGACTGAAGTCCAGAAGTGGACAAAGAACCAGAGTCTCCCCCCCCCCCCCCCCATCCCCAGATTAAGCCCCTGTAAACACGAAGAAGAAGAAGAAGAAGAAGAAGAAGAAGAAGAAGAAGAAGACGAAGAAGACGAAGACGAAGACGAAGACGAAGAAGAAGAAGAAGAAGAAGAAGAAGAAGAAGAAGAAGAAGAAGAAGAAGAAGAAGAAGAAGACGAAGAAGACGAAAAGAAGAAGAAGAAGAAGAAGAAGACGGGATGGAAAAAGCAGGAGAGGACCCGATGAAGGTGCATCTTTGACACTGGTCACCCTTCCACTCGTGCAGGTTCTCCTGGCTGCGTGTCAAGCATTCTTCAGAAGTGTGCAATTCTTATAGTAGCTGTGCCTCTCCACACGTTGTGGACCTTCGATGAACATTCTTGGGGTTGGAACATCAATAACTGCCCGAGACCTTTTTGTGATAACCCATTTTTACAGACACAGATCAGTGTTCACAATTTTTTTTTTTCTCATTTACTAAAAATCTGCGTGTCTCGACGTCCAATAGGCTTTTCGCTCCGCCATTAGCTTACTATGTATTTTTCAACGATTTAGAGACGTTTTAAGTGACTAGTTGATAGGATGCTCTAGGCTTAACTGATGTTATCAGATTGAATTCAATTTTTCTTTATTTGTGACAGTTGGGAAATTTAAACTGAATTTGTGAAATATTGTGTAAGCGCCTGCTGCAGTTTAACTAATATTCCAAATGGGTAGAGCACAAGCCTCACACATATGTTTCTTCTTCTTCTTCTTCTTCTTCTTCTTTTCTTCTTCTTCTTCTTCTTCTTCTTCTTCTTCTTCTTCTTCTTCTTCTTCTTCTTCTTCTTCTTCTTCTTCTTCTTCTTCTTCTTCTTCTTCTTCTTCTTCTTCTTCTTCTTCTTTCTTCTTCTTCTTTCTTTCTTCTTTCTTTCTTTCTTTCTTTCTTTCTTTCTTCTTCTTCTTCTTCTTCTTCTTCTTTTCTTCTTCTTCTTCTTCTTCTTCTCTTCTTCTTCTTCTTCTTCTTCTTCTCTTCTTCTTCTTCTTCTTCTTCTTCTTCTTCTCTTTCTTCTTCTTCTTCTTCTTCTTCTTCTTCTTCTTTCTTCTCCTTCTTCTTCTCTTCTTCTTCTTCTTCTTCTTCTTCTTCTTCTTCTTCTTCTTCTTCTTCTTCTTCTTCTTCTTCTTCTTCTTCTTCTTCTTCTTCTTCTTCTTCTTCTTCTTCTTCTTCTTCTTCTTCTTCTTCTTCTTCTTCTTCTTCTTCTTCTTCTTCTTCTTCTTCTTCTTCTTCTTCTTCTTCTTCTTCTTCTTCTTCTTCTTCTTCTTTCTTCTTCTTCTTCTTCTTCTTCTTCTTCTTCTTCTTCTTCTTCTTCTTCTTCTTCTTCTTCTTCTTCTTCTTCTTCTTCTTCTTCTTCTTCTTCTTAGTCTTCGTCTTCTCCTTCTACCACCACTACTACTGCTGCTGCTGCTGCTACTTCTTCTTCTTCTTCTTCTTAGTCTTCGTCTTCTCCTTCTACCACCACTACTACTGCTGCTGCTGCTGCTACTTCTTCTTGTCTTTTTCTTCGTTTTCCCCACCTAATCTTTATTTTTCTTTTCCTTCTTCGTGTCCCCATTCTTCTCTTCCTCAGTTAAACCTTTCTAGGTTTTTTGTAAATCTTATCTAATTAATATCTTTGTGCGATTTTGCACACACACACACACACACACACGCGCGCGCAAACACACGCGCGCGCGCACGCACATACACACAAATACACAGTGAGAGAGAGAGAGAGAGAGAGAGAGAGAGAGAGAGAGAGAAGAGAGAGAGTTATTCAAAATGACCACCTCATAATATGAAGAAGACATCTTTCTTGTCCCTTCCCAGACTCCCAGTCACGAGCCCACAGACAAAACTCCCTCAAAACCCAGTCCCTGGACAAATAACACAACTCACGTCTCACACCTCCTTTAGGGGATGTAGACAGAGCCCAAATCATGCTGGCCGGCGCGACTGGACCTCCCTGGCGC